GATGGCGGAATTGGATATTCAACTTTCAGGCTATATATATTTTTTTTTCCCTTTTCAAATATATAAAGTAATTTTTGTTTTAGAGCTAATGAGGGTTTTAGCTCTAAAACAAAAATTACTTAAATTAAATGTTCAGAGGTCAGTTGGGCGTCAGTCTAACTTTCTAACTTAACAGTTATTTACTGTTTTATTTATTATCTATTATTTACTGTTTTTAGTTATTTAGTTATTTTCTGTCACCTTTGAGCCGAATAGCAGCTGTTTCCTTCATTTAATCTAATTTCTTTTTATTTCTTTTCAAGGATTATTTCAGGTATTATTTGCTGACCTGGGTTAGTTGTGGGTTTCTTTTTGTGTTTGTCTGAATATGTTCATTGTAAGATCTTTTTGTTTTTATCACAGCTCTGTGTAGGAACCTTTTTAAACCCTGAATTCATCCTCCTGCCTCCTCTGGTGTTTTCCAAACAGAGACGTCTCTCTGTGGGAGAGTTTGTGCATTCTGAACTCGTTTTCAGCATTTGATGTGTTGACATTGGAATCTGACTTTTTTCTGAGTTTGTCGACTGCTTTGGGTGTTTCTGTTTGCCAAACCAACCAGAAAAAGTCAAGTTTTTCTCAAAGTCACTAACAGAGGTCCAGACAAAAGACTGACCACAAACCGGACCGGCCCACGATAAAGTTTTTAATCAGAATCAGAAATACTTTAATAATCCCAATAATTTTGTGACTACCTCCATAAATAAAACAACGGCATATACATATATACATGTCTATACATAAATACAGATACAGTGGGGGAAATAAGTATTTTACCCCTTGCTGATTTTGCAGGTTTGCCCACTTATAAAGAATGCAACGATCTATAACTTTAATCATATGTACATTCCAACAGTGAAAGACAGAATCCCAAAGAAAATTCCAGAAAATCACATCATATGAATTTATAAAAATTGATAACCATCTGATGAGGAAAAATAAGCATTCTTTGTAAGTGGGCAAACCTGCAAAATCAGCAAGCGCTCAAATACTTATTTCCCCCACTGTATATGCCGTTGTTTATTTATGGACTTAGTAACAAAAAATAATTTCCCTCTGGGATTATTAAAGTATTTCTGATTCTGATTCTGAAACTAGGTGCAGAGCTAGTTTGAAAACTTAACTGTGACCCAATAAATGTAATTTTTTATACTTTTGATCCACTCTGGTTTATTCTCAGGTTTCCACCTGATTGCTGTTTTTCAGGATCAAACTGTAAAGTCCCATCTATCTTTTTTGGGTGTTTTGTGGCTGGTTATCCCTGTAAAAGAAAAATTATACTAATCATCACTTAACATTTAGCTTTGTTGCACTTTATCAAACAGGAAATGAGACACAGTCTGAAAAGGTAAATGCATTATTCAGTTGGTTAAAAAGCACAAGCTGTAATAATCATGGGCTTAAAAAAAGACCAAAAGATCTGAAAAAAGGTTTTAAAAACACAGAACTGTGAAGTTTAAGTGGATTTGTAAGAAATACTGACTGGAGACAAATCTTTTACTTTAATATTCAATAAAAATATCTGCTGGTGTCCTTGGAAAAGCGTCGGTGTGTTTTATGAAAGCGATCGGATTTAGAGAAGCAT